AAATACCCTATGTATTATATGTAAAATATTATATATACATAGGATATTGCAAAGATTATTAATATAATAGCGATGGAAAAGGTGCGGGATCGGTTAGGAATTGTGGAAAAAGTGTAATCGAGATGGATGACGCGGTTATGGTGGATTTATCGCGTATACGAACTACTGGGTTGCTTGCTATCGAGCGCACGTTTGCCCGAGCCGGCAAGGGCATCATCCACTTGGGGCGCGGAATGGAAAAGGGAGAGGGCGAGTCATCGATGTGTCACAAGTGTCTCTTTCGAGGAAGAAGCGTCAATTCTGCAGATTCGATGTTGGGATATCATCCCAAATGCACTCGACTCGGTGACCTAGAGTGTCAACTATTTTTAAAGCTCTTTTTTTTCTTTCTTTCCTTTTTCTTCATCCGTTTCGCGCTAAGCGACAAACACGCCAAACGGGGATAACAAGTGAGCGGGAACGAATCGAACTTATGCCGTTTCAAACGAAAAAGAGATGAGACGAAAGAGTTCGACGAGCTTCGCGTCTAAGAGTAAAAATATCTCGGGTTTTGAGAAGAAACGAAATTAACACGGATCGCGGTAGTTATAGTAGTGATATTCGATTTTAAACATTCGATTTTCGATCGTTCGTGTTTTTACACGTACAGAATCTGGCTAGCAGAGTTGAGCATTGACTCGTTGAAAAAATAAAATTAGTCAAAAATTTCGAATAAAGTTGATCATTGATTACTCAAAATGAATAATAATTTATTCATAGTATAGCTATAAATTTCGACCGATTACATTATTCGCGATTATTATTATGTTTCGAACCATTTCGAAATTATCCAAGTAAACTTTGCTCGTAAACTTCAACTATTAAATTTTGCTCGTCATTATATACCATACCTAAGTTTTGGACAAAATTTGATCGAGCTTGTTTCATACGCACGTGTTGCGTCGCGTCAACAAATTGTCGTCGATTTTTTTCCACGACTTGTCGATTTCGAAATATGGATTCGATATCTTAAATCGATCGATAGCGATTCGAAATCATCTCGTTTTCATTTTGTATCGTTCTTCCTTCTTCGATCGGGTCGGTTTATCAAGCGTATTACGAATAGGTGGGAACGAATAGAGTAGGATAAAAAAAGAGAAAGGACGACAGAAACAGAATGGTGGTTTATTTCACGAGCGATCGCTTCTCTTTCACCAAGCCGAAAGAGAGAGAGAGAGAGAGAGAGAGAGAGAGAGAGAGAGAGAGAGAGAGAGAGAGA